AACAGACAAGAAGTCAGAATTAACAATTACCCTAGGATTGGGCTTTATTCAGAGTGAACGTTCGTTAGGGGGCAGGGGTTAACGTTCGTCAACGACGGTCAAGGTAGTGTTAGCATGACACGATCCTACTACGCCATGGCGCGAGCTCATTATTATGTATGAACGCAGGCAACTGTCATAGCGTTCATTCGTTATTACTTCACGAATAGGATAATAAAACCACACATCCGCGTGAAAGGGTTACAAAATGCACGGCTGAATCTTACCATTAAAGCATTTTCTTTCCAAATCGATAAGGTTAATTTGCATCTTATATGCGCACTATCTGTTTTAAAAAATACGTAAAATCATGCTCATTTACAAACCATGTGTTTAGTCTGCTAGTTTTTTCATTAGTTATGTTCATAAAACATTAAACAGACGGTAAATACATATAGTGAAATATATGGTGAAGAGGACGGATAATGGAAGACGAAAAGAATAAATTTCACTAGTTATTGTGGCTCAATAGAGCGTTATCCTGTCAGCAAGACCCGCATGTCCGTACAAAGCTGAAGGGCACCAGACGTCGAACCCTGCCTTACATGAACTTTCTGAGAGATAGCCACATTCCCTACGTCCCCCTATAAGTGTGTCGATCACGTCGTATTAGTGTGGTGGCCACTGGTGTTGGTAAAGGAGCACACCAGCTTATGTAGAATTTGCAATCGTCACCACCACGTAAAGTACTAAATGCAACCGTCGAATATGTCAACACACCTATGCAAACACTACGGAAGAAAGGAAACGTAAATAGGAGAGATTTAATGAAGGAAATTAGATGATCCGTGTAAAAAAGACAAGAGTAGAGTATGAACCCATGTCGCATATAAACAACCCGTCTGGATTGGGGGTTGATCTAATCGTTAGCGCACAATTTGCCGACGAAACCATTTTTCCCACTACGTCCCATGGAAGACAACAAAGCAAACACACATCCTACAAATGTACAGTATATGAAATTTTACTAGGTAAGACTTGCTTCTTTTAGTGATGTACTACTTGTAATGCAGACATCTTAAAACTGCAGACAGATGACTGCATAAAAAGGACACAAACTTAAAGCAGGCAATCCAATAAGTACTATCATTAACTTTATATGGTAATATTATACCGCAGTTATATATAACTAATCGTAAATATTATCAATAAGGAAGATCATATAAATATATTACCATGTTAAAAGTTAGGCATCTCAAGAAACATAAGTTAGAGTTGAATACGTTCTCCGGAAAATGGAATTTTATTGCATGAATTTTCGAGACTGGAGCCCGCTCTTGTCACCAGACGCAGAGTATAGTGAAAGTGCCAAAACAGCTAACATCGTGAGTACGCAGACAAACAGTTGGGCGGACAGCCGAGCGAGAAGGCGGGGGGGGATTATTCGTACAAGTCTTGAGCAAAAATGGGCGATACGCGAACCAATCCGAACGGGAAACAGACGGCAATAGCTTATTGGTGCAGTCAGTCAAACATGAGACTGCTAACACCTGCTTTCATCACCACCAGTCGCAACAGCATGCTGTACACCCCCGTCTCCCCGCTCTCACATGGCTGTCTACTCATCTGTTTGTCTGTTTTAGCATTTTTACTTTACTCTGTGCCTGATGACGTGCTGGGGCTCTAAGATCGAAAATTCACACAATAAATTCCATTTCCCAAAGAACGTATTCGACTTCAACATATATAACTATCTCGAAAAAGTGCACAGTGCGTCCGAAACCGGAAAATCTACGGCAGTGCGAATTTGCATATTGTTTTACCTTTAAATCGCACTTTTATGCTCATCGAGGAGCATCTATATATAATAATGGAAGGGGCTAGCATACACACTACACGCGTACGGGCACCAGTTGGTATTCGCATAGGGAAAAACTATCAGGGTTAGAGTATAAAATGAGCTTGTAATTAGAGAAGCACTTTCAAACTCAAAAATTGCGACTTTATCAGTTCGACTCGCACGCGAATTAGTAACGCCTCATGCATGACCAAGTGTCGTACAATTCCGAATAATGCATGAACCCGCGATGTATACCAATTAATTTAAACAATACCGTTAAATTGAAGGTGCTTGAAAATGTGATGAGTTATCGAGGTATTCGAACAATAGTTAAATAATTCATCGATGGATATTGCATTGTTTCACGCAATATTCCAACGCAGTTAAAGGCCAGAGAAA